ATTTGCAATGAATGTAGATAATAATATCTTCACTCCGCTCATTGTTGGTAGGTCTGACTGAACATTATTTTATGTCTAAAATTTTTTGTTAGTAAATTTATTGCTTAAGATGCATTTTTTTCTAAAGAAAATTTAAAAAATTGAACTTGAAATTGAAATCTGTTAATAACAATTGGATTGCTTATAATAGCCAACAGTATATGAAGGCTCTGATCTGCATTTGGTTTATAACAGTGCTGTTTTATGCGCCAGAGGATTAAAATGATGCAGTGGGAGTAAATTAGTAGTTTACCACACTGTCAGCTCATAAGAATCACTTGGGCCTCATCTTAGGGTGATATGGATTGGAAAAAGAGGGAGGCAAGAAGTTTGTCCCTGATTAGTCCAGGTGACTTTGAGAATCAAACAGACATGTAAACCTCTGGAGGGATGGTAAATATTTTCTCATTTTAGTTCTAAAATTCATGACTACTCTCTATTTTTTTATTTCAAAATCATAAATATTTGGAGCTAGAAAGCATCTTAGAGAACACTTGGCCTGAACTTGTCATTAAAAATAAAATATTTTTACTCATTCCCCCACCAGCCTCCCCTCTGGTAACCATTAGTTTGTTCTCAATAATTAAGAGTCTGTTTTTTGGCTTCTCTATTTTGTTCTCTTGCTTGTTTGTTTTGTTGTTAAACTCCACGTATGAGTGACATGATACGGTATTTGTCTTTGACTTACTTCACATAGCATGGTACTCTCTACCTCCATTCATGTTATTGCAAATGGTAAGATTTCATTCTTTTTTATGGCTGAGTAATATTCCAGTGTGTATGTGTGGGCCTGTGTACCACACCTGCTTTATCCATTCATCTATCAATGGATACTTGGGTTGCTTCCATAATTTGGCTATTGTAAATAATGCTGCTATAAGCATAGGGGTGCATGTATTCCTTTGACCTAGCATTTTTGTATTTTTTGGGTAAATACCCAGGAGTATGATTATTGGATTGTAGAGGAGTTCTTTTTAAAAAATTTTCAGGAATCTCCATATTGTTTTCTGCAGTGGCTACACCAGTTTGCATTCCCACCAACAGTGCAAGAGGGTTCCTTTTTCTCCATATCCTTGCCAACACCTGTTGTTTCCTCTGTTGTTAATGTTAGTCATTCTGACAGGTGTGAGGTAATAGCTCATTGTAGTTTTGATTTGCATTACCCTGTTGGGGGAAATAGGTGATGGGGATTAAGGAGTGCATTTGTCTTTTTTTTTTTTGAAGGCTCTACACCCAATGTGGGCTTAAACTCATAATCCTGAGACCAAGAGTTGCATGCTCTACTGACTGAGCCACACATGCACCCCAGGAGTGCACTTGTTGCAATGAGCACTGGGTGAGTTATGGAGTTGTTGAGTCACTGTATCAAACACCTGAAACTAACGTAACACTGTTTGTTAACTATACTAAATAAAATAACTGCAAAAAGGAAAAGTAGTGGTCAAAAGCAAAAGCTTAAAAATAAAAATTTTCCAAATTTTTTCTTTTTTAGAGAGAGAGAGAGCATGAAAGCAGGGAAGAAGGGCAGAGGGAGAGAGAGAGAATCTCAAGCAGCCTCCACACAGTGTGGAGCCTGACAGAAGATCTGATTCCATGATATTGAGATCATGACCTGACCCGATATCAAGAGTAGGATGCTTAACCAACTAAACCATGCAGATACTCAAAACTTTCCAACTTTAAAATAAAATTTTGCTAGATAAAGGACCAGAATGTAATACAGGAAACCATCAAAACCCTAGAGGAGAAAGCAGGATACAACCTCCTTGACCTCAACTGCAGCAATTTCTTACTTGACACATCCCCAAAGGCAAGGGAATCAAGAGCAAAAATGAACTATTGGGACCTCATGAAGATAAAAAGCTCTGCCCAGCAAAGAAAACAGTCAATAAAATAGGCAACTGACAGAATGGGAAAAGATAGTTGCAAATGACATTAGATAAAGGACTAGTATCCAAAATCTATAAGGAACTCACCAAACACCACACCTGAAAAACAGTCTAGTGAAGAAATGGGGAGAAGACATGAACAGACACTTCTCCAAAAAGGACATCCAGATGGCCAACAGACACTTGAAGCGATGCTCAGCATCCCTCCTCATCAGGGAAATACAAATCAAAAACCACACTGAGATACCACCTCACGCTGGTCAGAGTGGCTAAAATAACAAGTCAGGAGACTCCAGATGCTGGTGAGGATGTGAAGAAATGGGCACCCTCCTACCCTATTACTGTGAATGTAAACGGGTGCAGCCCCTCTGGAAAACAGTGTGGAGATTCATCAAAAAATTAACAATAGAACTACTCCAAGACCCGGCAATAGCACTGCTAAGAATTACCCAACGGTTACAGGAATGATAATGCATAGGGGCACATGGACTCCAATGTTCATAGCAGCACTCTCAACAATAGCCAAAACGTGGAAAGAGCCTAAGTGTCCATCAACTGATGAATGGATCAAGAAGATGTGGTTCATCTATACAATGGAATACTACATGGCAATGAGAAACAATGAAATCTGGCATGTGTAGCAACGTGGATGGACCTTGAGGGTGTTATGCTGAGTGAAATATGTGAGGCAGAGAAGGACAGATACCATATGTTTGCATGTACAGGTAGATTAGGAGGAACTTAATGGAGGACCATGGGGGAGAAGAAGGGGGGAAAATTTGGGGCGAGGGAGGGAGGCAAACCATGAGAGACTCTTGGATGCTGAGAACAAATTGAGGGCTGATAGGAGATAGGGGAGAGGGGAAGGGGGGAGATGGGCATGGAGGAGGGCACTTATTGGGATGAGCACTGGGTGTTATATGGAAACCAACTTGACAATAAACTTTAAGAAAAAAATAAAATTTTGCAAAAGTAAAAAAAGAAATGAACTTTAATTTCTTAAAAATATAAAATATTTTTAGAAATAATTATAGAAAATTTGGAAAATGGATATAAAAAAGAAAATAATCATTACCTTCATTCTCAACATTTACTGTCTACACATTACTATAATTTTTAAATTTGAGTATCTTTGACAATTTACATTAGTGTCAGATGTCAACATAGTGTTATGCTATGCTCACAACATAATTATTATTTATACATTGGCGATTTTCCTTCCTTTTTCTTAAATATACATTTAAAAAATGGGAACACACTATACATATATGAATGTATGTATGTATGTCTCTAACCTGCTATTTTCACTTAATATATTTGGGAACATTTTCATTAGTTCTTTATGATATCAGAGTTTGGGGCACCTGGGTGGCACAGTCTGTTGGGTGTCCAACTTTGGCTCAGGTCATGAACCTGTGGTCTGTGAATTTGAGCCTCGCATTGGGCTCTGTGCTGACAGCTAAGAGCCTGGAGCCTGCCTCAGATTCTGTGTCTCCCTCTCTCTCTGTCCCTCCCCTGCTCACAATCTCTCTCTCTCTCAAACTTAAATAAACATAAAAAAAAAATGCAGAGTCAAAGGCTTGTCTTTAACGTAATTATATCAATGAATGTTCTATTTCTGGTCAGGTAGGTTATTTTCCATTATTTTTCCTATTGCAAATGATGTTGAGATTAACACCCTGATTGAAAATTCTTTGTATACATCCCTGACAATTTGCTTAGGATAATTTCTCAGAGGATGAAGTCCTAGAAGTATAATGTAAGAGTACAGCATAGACTCTGAACCATACAGCTTGGGTTTTTATCCAACTATTGATTTTGTAAACTTGGGCAAATTTTAGTGTCTTGGTTGCCTGATATGTAAAATGGGGTTAATTATTAGTACAACCTTATAGAATTTCTGTGAGGACTGAATGAGAAAATATACTTAGAGTACTTCATACAGTGTACGGGACTGAATATGAGTTCAATATTGTCCATTATTGTGGTAATAAAGTGATGTACATTTGGAAGGTTCTGGTTTTTGAGAGTTATTGCCACTGTACTTACAAAATTGTTAGAGTTATTCCATTTCTTCCTCCTCCAGAAAGGCTGTAGAATCAGTGTTTCCACTATAAATGTTTAGTGTCCACTTCCCTGCATCCTAATCCTTTTTTCATTTACAGAGGAAGAAAAGTGAGGTTCCAGTGGAATCAAATTCCTTAGCACTGGTCTCATTGTCAGGCATGGACAGATTTGAGACTGTATTATAGCTCCACAGCCCCACATACCTGTCTTTATCAAAAGTCTGAATTAAGAATTTTACATTTATTACATTACAGTATCTTGCTTTGTAGGACTGATTGGAATTAAGCCTTTCTTTCCCTCCAGATACAATGTAACTGTGGGAGAACTGGACAAGGAAAGGAGCCATTCTCCAGTGTGCTGTGTGACTAATTGATTATAACTTATACTTTCCCCCACCGGAAGTAGAAACTGGTATTTTTGTTTTTTAAAATTTTTTTTTGGAAATTGTTATTTTTAAATATATGTGGAAAAAAACCTCCTTGAAAATGTGTAAGACTCAAACTTTTGGTTCTCGGAGGTTGAAATAAAAGTTGGTCTTATCAGGGGTCACTAGAGGGCACTGTGACCCTTCAAGTTTTCAAGTTGTACTGTTTGGAAAAGAAATTTTGCACTGTTTTTGATTTTAGTGAAGATTTTTGCTGGCATCCATAAGAGTAAAATCAAATATGAAGAGTGTGAGAGGTACACAGAAACTGATACAAGACTGTGTATGAGCTGATCAGGAGGTTACCTTTTTGGTTACAGGAAGGTCCAAATTTTAGGAGCTTTTAAAATATGAAAATGGTATGTTTTCATTTACCTTCCTTTTAGTAAACGACAGTTTTCTGGTTTTGAGACTTCTCATTGTTTTTCCCCTCTGGAAATATTTTATGTTACAGTTGTAGCTGTGAGTGTTAACTTGGGTCACCACATGGCATAATCCAGTATTTATGAAATAAGAATTTATATTGTAGTGATTTTAAAGCATGTTAGCCATTATGTAACGATTTTCCCCCATAAACTGACCTGGGCCTTTAGTAGGTACTTTAGAATTTATCTGAAATAACTTCAATGGCATCCTTGTTTTTACTTCTTTAAATCCTGTGCTGAAAAGAAAGTTCTTCCACTTGATTTTTCCACTCAATTGCAAAGCCTAGGATTAAATTAACAAAATTGGTTAGCAGCATCGCTTTGTCCTTCAAAGTAACCTTTTTGTAGGACTTTCTACTGAGTAGTGCATCAAGTAGCATCTTTGTTAACAATTTGAACTATCGTTTCCATTCACACAACATAAAAACCCAAGAACATTTAAAATAAATGGTCGTTGCTGGTTTTAATTTGATAAAGTTGCAAATGATTTACCAAATTTTTTCTATTGTATGTTTGTCATCGTGTAGTAGGTTGTTTAGAAAAAAAATCCACACATCATTAAGTTTGAGTTTGTTCTGGCCTTATTAAAGGGACATGGTTTAAATAAAGAATGGTTTTATACAGTCTTCAACAATCAGATGCTGGGTTCTTTCTTTTTTACAATAAATAAATGAATACATACAATAAAAAAAAGACTCCTAGTAGTATATTTAAAATATAAGATACTTCAAAGTATATTTAAAAAATAAAAAGGAAACCTCTTTCTGTTACTGCTCCTATCTGGAATATAACAGATCAAAAGTTATCTGTTCAAACTGATTTCCTTATGTTTGCTAACCAAATTCACCTTCCAAAACAGTTCACCTGCCCCATCCCCTCCATGTTCCCCTCATCTCACTTCAGAATTTATGTTGGCAAGATTCTTTAATTCTTTCTCTTCCTCCCTTTCTCTTTCCAAATCTCTCAATAATCAGTCTAACAGGCTGCAGGACTCTATCTCCAATTATATATGTGTGTATATATATATATATATTTATTTTCTCATTTCTAGAGTGACCTTTTCTCTTAAAAATGTTTATTTTGAGAGTCTCTGCGCTGACAGTGATAGCAGTCACCAATTGTGAAACCATTACAGGGCAGAAATCAAGAGTCTGATACTCCACTGAGCCACCCAACTGCCCTAGAAGGACATTTTCTAAAAATAGACAAACCATGTCTTATAGCATGTTACCTTACCTTGGGTTCAAATCAAATTTCTGTGTATGGTTTGTTTCCTTCACTGTCAAGCAGAACATTTTTAACAGTGGTGACAAGTCTTCCTTCCCAGTATCAGTATTACAGTTTCCTTTATGGAAAGTGAGATCAACAGTGAGTGTGTGTTGTGCTTTCTTTTGTTTCCTGGATTAGGAGAGCAGAAGAAACTGGCAGTGAAATTAGTGGCCAGTTTAGCTTTTTATAGGACATATACGGATTTGGGGCTCACTACTTTATCACTTCTTTCCCTGTTGCGGCACTCTGATCAAATCTGTTTCTGCTTCCTTTCCGCAGCATGGTAATCACAGCTAACGTTATTGAATACCAGTATTTCGGGTAGGCTCAACCCTTCATACACATTATAGGGTGCATCCAGGTCTCCTCAGGCTCTTAGACTAAGCAGGATTGGCAACCTGTTCTTTCGCAGTTCAAAATGGAACATATGTCCAGAGAGGTTATCTTGCTGGAAGTAACTGAGAATTATCTGTCTGGCTGTGACCTTCAGAATGACCCTAGGACTCTCATAATTACACTTCAAAAACATGTTGGGGAAGAGATTATAGAAGTAGAAAATATGTGATGAAGACTCGTGTACACATGAAACTCTTTTGTTTTTTCAAACCCCCTGAAATTAATGTTTCCCTGCAGCCATTTCACTATTACCGTTGTTGAGTAAGGGAGAATTGCTGCCTTGGGAAGAGGAAGATGGATGGAAGGGAAGTCTAAGTCAGGGCAAGGAAACACAAAATCCGGCGGGGGCTGAGGAAGCGAATGGTCAGAGAGGCGTGTCGGAGTTTAGTCCACCGTGGGAGGGGGTGATAAAAAGCGGGGGAAGCTTGACTCTCACTCACAGGAAATCTGAGGGTAGACCTGAGAAGCAGTGAGTTCCTCATTACGCCTCAAAGGCAGTGACTGCCGCGCACGCTGCGCGTCTCCAGGCGCAGGCACCAGGAGAGCACTGCGCAGGCCAGAGCCTCGCCGGCGCCTCCGCCTCCAGAGAGAAGGCTGGGGTCTGCGCAGGCCCGTGGAGGAGGTAGTGCTGCGCGGCTGAGGTGCGCAGTGCACCGGCCTGGTCTGGGAGCGGCCATCTCCACTTCCAGGCAAGCCCAGACTGGGTAGGAGATGTCTTGGTGGTCACCCATCGCACCTTGGGGACCCAGGTGGGGTTCAGATGCCCGGTGAGCCCGGATTGCCCTCGTGGCTTCTGGAGGACAGAGACCGAGGCCTGGAGATAGCGGGCGAGATGCCGGTTGCTGAGCTTTGCAGCCTCTATTTTGGAGAGCAGAGGCTAAGAGAAGCCTTTAACAATCTGCCATTATTCCAAAGAGGCCAAGACTACCTGGACGTTACTATTCTGCCATGGAATTGTGTTTTACAGTCGGAGGAAGAGGACTAACTTTGATCGACAGGTTTACTTTCTAACTCCACTCAGTGGGAACTTGAGCGCCACGTTGTATCCATTAAATGGAAAAAGAAGCCACATTTTCACTAAAGGCGAGTGTAGCATGTACTTTTTCAATCTTACAAAGGACACTTTGTGGTAAAAAAGATAGAAAAGTAGAAAGAAAAGGTAAAAAAAAAAGAAAACTTAATCTAGGGAAGAAACCCTCAATATTTGGCATATATTCTTCAAGAAAGTACACAATTGTATCACAAAATTGGTGTCATACTGTATATACAATTCCCTGCCCCAATCTTTATACTTAGTACTTTATTTTGAGTGTTTTCCCAATTCAGATATTTAATGGCTATAACTTGTCTGCACTCTTCACCTTCCTCTTCCCTTTTTTCAAATGTTTCTCCTGGCCCCCTTTACTGCCACAACTGTCTCCTTTATACCTCTCCTGGGGGCATCAGGCTTCCTCTTTTCCAGTCATGCCTGTATTTTGGGGAGCTTTTTAAATAATGCAGCCACCTTTAAGTACTCAGAGACTTTGTTGCCCTTTACGTACTCTGCTTCACTTATGAATTAGTGCCTCATACATAAATTGAATTGGAATTAGGAAACATTGGGCAGACTGACCCCTAGTTCCATATATTGGGAATATATTTGAGAACTAATATGAGGAATCTTACCAGAAAAAAATATCCATAATCATCACAAACTATTCTGTAATCTTCCAGCCAGGTCAAATTAATTCTTGATAGGGAGGTTATCTTAGTTGGGATTAAGAAATTTCATGTCTATGGGGCCCCTGGGTGGCTCAGTTAGTTAAATGTCCTAATTCATCTCAGGTCATGATCTCCCTGGTTGTGGGTTCCAGCCGCACTTTGGACTCTGTGCTGACCACTCAGAGCCTGGAGCCTGCTTCGGATTCTGTGCCTTCCTCTCTCTCTCTCTGCCCCTCCTCTGTTTGCCCTCTGTCTCTCTAAAATAAACATTAAAAAAAAAATGAATATGGGGCACCTGGCTCATATTGGTTAAGTGTCCAACTTTGGCTCACCTTTGGTGAATTTTAGCCCCCTCATTTGGGCTTTCTGCTCTTAGTGCAGAGCCTGCTTGGGATCCTCTGTCTCTCTTTCCCTCTCTCCCTTCCTCTCCCCCATAGGCACTTGGACGTGCTCTTGCTTACAAATAAGTAAACATTACAAAAAAATCATGAGTATAGAAAATGCTCCCACAACTGTAGGAACATACTCTTTTGAAAATTGCTTTTTCACACCTGTATACAGAAGGCATTTCCCTTTATGTGTGGGAAGTTTAATATTACTATGTATTTGGAAACTGTGGGTCTGTTTTCTCTCCTTCACTTACGACACCTGCAACTTTATTCTCTTCAGCTATGACTGGAATACATATCTGTAGTTGGTATTTACTAATCTTGGGATTTTTTTTTTTTTTTAAACCAAGGTAACTTTAGTTTGTACCTTGACAATGTGAAGAAATGGGTCTAGAATGAATGAATAGGACTAGCCACATTTAGCAGTAATGTAAGAAGAGCTTCCAGTTTAGTTGTTTTTGTGTTTTAAAATATAGAGATACATGGTTTTAGGTTTCATTTTATTATTTAAATAACCAAAGAGTTTATAAAAAGTTTTTGAAATTACTTTTTGAAGAATGAAGCAGGCACTGAAAAGGGAAACATGTCCTTCCCCTTACCACTCATCTCAGAGTTCACCCTTCCCGTAACATACCCAGCAGAATCCAAATTTGTCAATTTCTCTGAAATTAAAGGGAAATAATTTTGGGGTTGAGATTTTGAACCATGATTCCTTGCTGGGCATACATGAAAATAGAACTTTAGAAATAGCTAGAAGGAATGGTTTATTTTAGAAACATTTTAAGCTGAGGCATACTAATATATATATTATGTTACAATTATATTAGGCATATTCTATAATAAAGCATATGTTGTATTGTTGCCCTTTTACTTCCCTGGCAAAGGCAGAGGTGCTATGGTGGTTTCTATTAGGCTCAATAAAATAGGTAACATTATTCTCAGACTGAGGCTTTGCGTATCACAGGTTACGTTATAGGGGTCATCTATTAGAGCCAAATTGCCAGGCTCAGCTCAAGGAAAGAAAATTATTTTCTAGTAAAATTAGGAATTTAGAACCGTGGTACTAAGGAGGCCACTGGGTAAAAGGAACTGGAAGAGAATTCAGTTTAGGCTGAGAAGAATCTTAGGATAAACTGCCTCTGGCTCTGCCGGTTTAAGCTTTATGTACTAGGGGAAAAGTAGATGTGTTTTACCTGAATTCAGTACTACACGTGATTACCTAAAGAACAGATAAAATGCTTCATCTGTCAGATGGAATAAAGGTGTGCTTTGTCTCGTGGGCCCTCCCGTATACAAAGGTGTGATTTTCACTTTATGATGCTAGCTGGGTTATGAGAAGAAATTGGAAGAAACAGAGGCAGCTTTATAAATAATATTGATGTAGGGTTAAATGGAAAACCCCCTACAGTATATTGTAAATATAAATAAACCATACGTAGAGAAAACTCCACAAAAATTTATGGCATAATAATGTGAGAAGGGAAGTTAAGATTAAAAAGGAAAGTTAAGGTTAATAGTAACTTTCACCCTGAGGCCAACACAATCCCTTCTATACCATTGGATTTCTGTTACATGCATTTTAAGAGAGATGTTTGGATCTGGGTTGCATAATCCATTGTTCTTTGCTCCGGAACATTGTGTTGCATCTTTGGAGATTTCCCGTCAGCTTCTCCATAAAAAGAACTGTTCTTAAAAATTCTACTGCTTGGAGCCATGCTTCAGCTAGTGCAATTTTTCTATATTACCTTGCTGATAAGCAGAGCCTACATTGAATATAAGTTTATTGCAAATTGAGAAGAAAAGAAAATAATAAGGCTTATTCAGTCTTGTATAAGTTTTGTGTGAGGAAAAATGATGCAAATTATTGTCATTTTTTAGGTGCTCGCTCTCACTTGCTCTCTCTCTCTCTCACTTTGTGGAAGATCGTTACCCCATCAGCATACTGACAGTTTGACTGACCAACGGCTAGTCAATATACAGTATTTTCTCTTTATTTATGCTGTTAAGATTGAAAAATAAATTAAGGGAAAGAAATCATATTTGTGGAATATGGCATTACAATTTTTTCAAATGTTTATTTTTGAGAGAGAGAGAGACAGAGTGTGAGCGGGGGATGGGCAGAGAGATAGGAAGACAAAGCACTCAGAGCAGGCTCCAGGCTCTGCTCCGTTAGCACAAAGCCTGACATGGAGCTTCAACTCACAAACCATGAGATCGTTTCCTGAGCTCAAGTCGGACGCATAACCGACTGAGCCATCCAAGTACACCAATCAGTCTACTTAAATCTTTTTTACTTGACAACAATTATGAGTAACTTTCTTCTCCACTCAACAACCATTTCTCCATTTCTCTGACACCAACTGGTTGTACTACAAGTCAATTCAGTAGTGACACTAACTGCCAAAGTTAGCACAGACCCCACAGGTCAGTTTCATAAGACTGCCCCACTTCAAATGACAGTCACAAGTCCCAGGTTGCCCCCTGTAATAATTACCATGCAGCTATATATTTGGGGTTCCCACAACTCCCTCCTCAAGTTAGATAATTTACGAAATGGCTCATTGAACTCTTACTCATT